ATACCTGGTCTAAACAGAGACTTCCAGGCCAGTCAGCCAGGACTACTTAGTGCGACTCAATCTAAAAGCAAAAGATCTGCCTAGCATGCCCAAGGGCCCCAACACCTCCAGGTATAGTAATACACACCTAGAATTTCTCAAAATTTGGGAAGTGAAAGCACGATTGCTTTTTTTCTTTTATATTTTCTTTTCTAGTATTTCGAGATAGAGCTTCATGTAGCCCACACTGGCTTGGAGTGTACTATGTAACTAAGAATGATCATGAACATACGACTCTCCTGCCTCCAAATGTTAGGATTACAAGAGTGCTAGGATTACACATGTAAGTCGAGCCAACCACATCCAGTCTTACACAGTGCTAGGGATTGAACCTAGGGCTTGGTGCATACTAGGCAAGCACTCTACCAATTGAGCTACTACCCCAGCTTCAAGAAGCACGATTTCAAGTTAAATTCCCAGTATAGCCCCCATCTGACATGGTCACACATGCTTTTGTTCCCCCTTTATTTTTATGTGTATGGGTGTTTTTTCCAAATATATCTGTGTATGACGTGTATGTAGTATCCACAGAGGCTAGAAAAGGGTATTATTAGTTCTCCCTGGGACTAGAGTTATAGACAGTTGTAAGTTACTATGTGGTGGAAATCAAGCCTGTGTCCTCTAGATGAGCAGCCAGTGCTCTTAACCATTGAGTCATCTCTCCAGCCCCATGACACATGTTTTTTCTTAATATTCAAGAACATGAAATACTGCTAGGTGGTGGTGCACACCTTTGATCCCAGCACTTGGGAGGCAGAGGCAGGCCTCCATGAGTTCCAGGCCAGTCTGGTCTACAGAGTACAGAGTGAGTTCTAGGACAGCCAGGGCCTTTGCAAACACTGCACACCACATGGCATACACATTTAAAAAAAAAAAAAAAAGAAAAGAAAAAGTTTTGTCTTTCTGGTTCTAAATACTTACATAGTAGCTGTTCTCATTTGACAATTCACCCTATCTGTCTAATTTCCCTATTACTCTCTTGCCCATTTAGAAGATGGAAGAATCTTGGAGCTTACCTCTTTTGCAAGTTGACAGTGCTAAGCAAGCACTCTATAGACCTTCCAATCTTCTGTTACTGTCAAATTCCCACTCCTCTATCTGGCCCACTTCTAACGGGCAAATTTCTTGCTAAAATCCTGATACACATTGATGTCTCTGACCTACAGACCCAACAGGAGGAAAGAGTTCAGCCTGACAAAGATGCCTTAGGAGGTAGTATCACTCCACAGGATTACCTCTGATCCTAATTAAAGGTGTGGAGTTGCATGCCTTTAATACCAGCACTCAGGAGGCAAAGGCAGGTGGATCTCTGTGAGTTGGGGGCCATCCTGGCCTACAGAGTGAGTTCTAGGACAGACAGGGCTACACAGAGAGAGACCCTGTCAAGAAAACAAAAACAGAAACAGAAACAAACAAAAAAATGTGTACACAATCACAGAACCCTGGAATTCTGTAGAAAACTACTGTTAAGTTCATCATTGTCTGAGTTAAAATTTGGGGGATTTTTTGTTTGTTGGTAATGTGCATTGGTGTTTTGTCTGTGTGTATAATAACTGTGTGAGGGTGTCAGATCCCTAGAACTGGAGTTACAGGCAGTTGTGAGCTACTATATGGGTTCTGGGAATTGAACTTGGGTCCTCTGGAAGAGCAAACAGTGCTCTGAACTACTGAGTCATCTCTCCAGCACCCTGAGTGAAAATTTTTGAAGGGACTAAAAAGCTATGGAATCACTCACTTGGACATAATTGATAAAGTCTTCCTTGAGAAGGGTTCTCCGCTGTATTTTGTATTCTAGGTCAGAAGCCTTCTTGATGATAGCCCTGCAGAGAAAGCCGATAAAACTGTAACATTGGAAAAGTTAAACTGGAACTTAAGATTTTTATTTTGGATATATTGAAAACACACATTTAACAAAACACCTAGTTCCTGAATACACTTATCTTCCACAGGCAAAACTTGTTCTCTCTCTCTCTCTCTCTCTCTCTCTCTCTCTCTCTCTCTCTCTCTCTCTTTTTTTTACTTTTTTATTTTTTGGTTTTTCGAGACAGGGTTTCTCCGTGTAGCTTTGGAGCCTATACTGGCACTCGCTCTGGAGACCAGGCTGGCCTCGACCTCCCAGAAATCCGCCTGCCTCTGCCTCCCGAGTGCTGGGATTAAAGGCATATGCCACCAATGCTGGGCAAAACTTGCTCTCTTAGACAATTACCTCTGTGCTATTAAGAACATCCGAGGCCGGGCGGTGGTGGCGCAAGCCTTTAATGTATATATGTACATATATTTAAAAGATACATTTTTAAACTTTCAGGAAAAAAATCACCTCTGTAGCCAAGACCATTGACATTTCCACCAGCAAAGTAAATAATGCCAACATTTTATATTACTTATACATATTACTAAGATTTCTCCTCCAAATTTAGGTTCCTTAGGCATTTTTTTTAAGATTTTGTTTATTTATTTATTATGTATACAACATTCTGCTTCCATGCATATCTGCACACCAGAAGAGGGTGCCAGATCTCATAACGGATGGTTGTGAGCCACCATGTGGTTGCTGGGAATTGAACTCAGGACCTCTGGAAGAGCAGTCGGTGCTCTTAACCTCTGAGCCATCTCTCCAGCCCCCTCCTTAGGCATTTTTTTATGTTGTTGTTGTTGTTTGTTTTTTCTGCATTCCCTAGAAGCAAATCCAGGCCCTTGTGTATGTTAAGCATCCACCATGCATTGCTCTTAACTGCATCCTCAACCCTCAACGCTTAGTTTTTTTGTTTGTTTGGTTGGTTGGTTTGTTTGGTTTGGTTTTTCGAGACAGGGTTTCTCTGTGTAGCTTTGGAGCCTGTCCTGGCACTCACTCTGGAAACCAGGCTGGCCTCGAACTCCCAGAGATCCGCCTGCCTCTGCCTCCGGAGTACTGAGATTAAAGGCATGCGCCACCAACGCCCGGCTTCAACGCTTAGGTTTTTATGAAAACCAAATCTCTATATCTCTATCGTAAAATCTTGACATCTATATTTTTAGTATGTAAATTCTTAAAAACCTAAACTATCTCTATCTAAAAAGCTTTACTACTACAAAACATTTATGGGAAAAGACAGCCCATCCTTAGTTAAACACATATGTTTTAGGGAAACTGAATGCAGAATATACACAATGATATATAATAAGATCGTCAGATCCTATACTCACGTTACTGCAATTCATTAGGAGTCATTGTAAAGTGAATTGCCACAGGCAAAAAATCATTTAAAGTAACTGATTTTTAACAAATTACTGAATGTCAACTATATGCTGGACGCTGTGGAAATGATCTCCAATCTACAAGCTTAGGAAATCCCCCGGGCTTCCATGGCATTGTACGCGAAATCTAAAGCTGTATACCCCCAACTTCTAAATTATAACCAATTTTTAATTTTTTTATCTGAATTCTCCCGCTATTCACATTGCCCAGGGAGTCCTCGATGGCCTGGAATCCTGGCTAT